TTACCACACCAGTCAAATACACACTCACCTCAGTCACTCGTCGGCTGGTCTCAAGGTTACAAGCTGCTCTCTATGGGTTCCTTGCCTCCCGATCTACCTGTCACGCCTCGGATTCCTCAGTTCTCGGCCGAAGGACCTCAGTGCCAAACCCAGATAAGACTGTGTTCTCTGCTTCCATTTATTCCTCAGTTGACTCTTTTCTGTTGGAAGCTCCTCCTAAGTTCCTCTGAATAAGCTTCCCGACTTACGTTAACCTGTCTGTTTGCCTCTTTGTCCCGGATGTGACAGAAGACCAACCCCAAAAAAATTTTACGGATTACAACACGGACTCATGGATTCTCGGAGCACATCCTCACCGGAACCCTTACCCATCCGGACTGTCACCGCCTCCCCACCCGCCTTTCCCATGGCCCGGCCAGCAAGCTATTTGGGTGAGGCAGCCCTGTGCAGCGGGTTTTTGCTGCAATGTTCCCTCTACCTGGAGATGCAACCACACCTGTTTGTGACCGAGCGGGCCAAGGTGTCGTTCATTATCTCGTTGCTGTCTGGACGAGCCTTGCAGTGGGCCGAAGCCTTGTGGAATGCACAGAGCCCGTGGATTCACTCACTGGATGGCTTTGTGAAACACTTCCGGGAGGTATTCGGTCAATCGACCACGGAGGTCACAGTGCATGAGGAGCTCTTTCAACTGCGGCAAGCCGAGTTATCCATCCACGGGTATGTGCTGCACTTCCGCACTCTCGCCGCTAGCAGCGGCTGGAACGAGGCCGCCCTGCTCTCGGTCTTCTGCCGCGGCCTCAACCTGGGCTTACGCCAACAGATGGCCATCTACGATGACACCGTGGGGCTCGACAGCTTTCTCCAAAAGGCGGTTCGCATCTCCCAGCACCTAATCGCGTGCCATATGGAATCGCTACCCGTTGCCGCTGCCTCACCCAGCCTCTCCGCTCCAGCAGCAGAGCCCATGATCACGGATAGCTACCATCTCTCGTCCACGGAACGATCTCGGAGACTCACCCGTGGCCTGTGTCTCTATTGTGGATCGCCGGAGCACCAGCTCCGCACCTGTCCCATTCGTCCATCACGCCCAGCGGTGATCTTGATTTGTCTTGCATGCCTCATATAAATGCTCTTCTAATTTATCACACCCAATCCTTCCCAGTCAAAATCCTCGTGGACTCCGGAGCTTCGGGGAATTTCATCTCCTCCCGTAGTCTCGCCGGGTTCCAAGTTCCCCGCTGCAAAAATGCCACGACCTACCAGATCACCACTGTCCAAGGAAAGCTGCTGGGCAAGGGGCTGGTGCGGCACCGCACGCCCGAAGTCGCCCTACGGATTGGATGTTTCCACACCGAATGGATCTCTCTACTGGTGCTGGAGGAGGCCGTCGTGGACATCGTCCTGGGACGCCCCTGGCTCGCCAAACATCAACCCACCATCGCCTGGAAGTCCGGAGACATACTCCACTGGAGTGCGGAGTGCAAACAGGAGTGCCTCCGAGATCTGCCTATCCCGAGCTCCGTCGGGAACGACCTCCCTGTCTGTTCCACCTCGGGTGACGAATGGAAAACTGCCTTTGTAACGCCCACCGGGCACTATGAGTACCGGGTCATGCCCTATGGGCTTTCCAACTCACCCTCCATATTCCAAAACTTCATGAATGAGATCTTCAGAGACATGCTCAACCGGTTCGTCCTCATCTACATAGACGATGTACTCATATACTCACCCAATCTCGAAGCACACCGTAGCCATGTCACCAAGGTACTCCAACGCCTCCGCCAACACCGCCTGTATCTGAAGGCGGAGAAATGTGAGTTTCACCAATCCACCGTTCACTTCCTGGGCTACAGGTTGCACCCTGCAGGGGTGCAAATGGACCAGAGGAAGGTGGATGCCATTCGGAACTGGGCTCAACCGACTACCATCAAGGAGATGCAGAGATTCTTGGGGTTCTCAAATTTCTATCGCCGCTTTATCGCCCACTTCAGCCAGTTGGCGGCACCACTTACCTCTCTCCTCCGGCGGAAGGCCAAATTACTCACCTGGACCCCGGAGGCACACCAGGCCTTCAGTCAGCTCAAAGCCACCTTCTGTACGGCCCCGGCCCTTTCCCACCCGGACCCCAATCTCCGCTTCGTGGTCGAGGTGGACGCAGCGACCCTGGAAGTGGGCGCCATCCTGTCTCAATGGCAAGGTGAACCCCCAGTGCTCCATCCATGTGCGTATTTCTCATGGAAATTATCCCCGGCGGAGCAGAACTACGACGTTGGAAATCGGGAGTTGCTGGCCATCAAGCTCGCTCCATCCATGTGCGTATTTCTCACGGAAACTATCCCCGGCGGAGCAGAACTACAACGTGGGAAATCGGGAGTTGCTCGCCATCAAGCTCGCTCTGGAAGAGTGGCGGCATTGGTTGGAGGGTGCCAAACATCCATTCGAAGTGATCACAGACCACAAGAACCTACAATATCTCCGAGAGGCCAAACGTCTTAACCCGAGGCAGGCCCGCTGGGCTCTGTTTTTTACCCGCTTTCACTTTGCGGTCATGTACCGTCCAGGGACTAAGAATGTCCGAGCGGACGCGCTTTCCCGCCAACACCAGCCAGATCCTACCCCCGAAGAACCAGAGCCCATCCTGCCACCTTCCGTCTTCATGTCTCCGATTCAATGGGCCTGTCCCATCCACCCTGCGGATAACCCTTCTGGACTCGGTTCACACCTCTCCGGGATCGGGACACCCAGGCAGCCACCGAACCCTCTCGCTCCTCCAAAACCGCTACTGGTGGCCCCACATGGCCCGAGATGTCGCCCGGTATATCGAGGGATGTTCGGTCTGTGCCATCTCCACCACGCCACGTCGTCTGCCCGAAGGTAAACTATTTCCGCTACCCATCCCTCTCCGGCCCTGGTCCCACCTGGGTGTGGACTTTGCCGCTGACTTACCTCCCTCGAACGGATTCACGACCATCCTAGTCTTCCTCAGTTCTCGGCCGAAGGACCTCAGTGCCAAACCCAGATAAGACTGTGTTCTCTGCTTCCATTTATTCCTCAGTTGACTCTTTTCTGTTGGAAGCTCCTCCTAAGTTCCTCTGAATAAACTTCCCGACTTTGGTTAACCTGTCTGTTTGCCTCTTTGTCCCGGATGTGACAATAACCAGTGTTGGGTAAGTTACTTTAAAAAAGTAATTAATTACGAATTACTAATTACATCGTCAATATTGTATTTAAATTACTTTTCTAATTACTCTGTCTGAAAAGTAGCTTAATTACTCAATAAGTAACTTAATTATCTGAATTATTAATTACTTCATAAAATCCCTATAAATCTTTATGCATAGAAATGAAACTCTTAATTCTTTCAGTTTGAGTTAAACATGGAATAGTTTAGCCTTTTATCTTTAAAACAACCGTAATACTTAAAAGCATTTTAATAAAAAATGTGGTTAACAAATAGAATTACTCTGCAAAATATCTGAATAACAAAATAAGCTTAAGAAGAGTAAAGTTTTAAGTCATCAATATTGTATTTAAATTACTTTTCTAATTACTCTGTCTGAAAAGTAGCTTAATTACTCAATAAGTAACTTAATTATCTGAATTATTAATTACTTCATAAAATCCCTATAAATCTTTATGCATAGAAATGAAACTCTTAATTCTTTCAGTTTGAGTTAAACATCTTTTGGTCCAATAATTAATATCTCTGTCTTATCCGAATTTAATAAGAGAGAATTATTGGTCATCCAATCTTTTACATTTTTAACACACTCTGTTAGCTTAGGTAATTTATAAGTTTCATCTGGTCTTGTTGAGATGTATAATTGAGTATCATCGGCATAACAGTGGAAACTAATCCCGTATTTTCTGATAATATTACCAAGGGGCAACATGTATATTGAAAAAAGCAGAGGACCTAAGACAGATCCTTGTGGCACTCCATATTTTACTTGTGATAATTGAGATGACTCCCCATTTAAATGAACAAAGTGCTAGCGATCGGACAGGTAGGATCTAAACCATCTTAAAGCCTGCCCTTGAATACCTGTATAGTTTTGTAATCTATCTATGAGTATGTCATGATCTATAGTGTCGAACGCAGCACTAAGATCAAGTAAAACTAGCAATGAGATGCAGCCTTGGTCTGATGCAAGGAGCAAGTCATTTGTAATTTTAACAAGTGCACATAATGAGCTCTGAGACGGGAAAGACTGTACCTCGCTTTAGTTTTATTACATAATCAGAGAATATTCGTTTTTGATTTGAATTGGTTCA